CTCAGATATTCAGACTTGAACTGAGTGGGACCACTGATTTTCTTGGGTCTGCAGCTTGCCTACAGGAGATCAAGAGACTTCTTAGCCTTCCCAGTTGTGTGAGTCAATTCCTCATAATAAATCTCCATATAATCTCTATATCTGGGTATATATTACATAAACATATAATAAATCCAAATAGACAATATATATCCTCCTGGTTCTGTTTCCCTGGACAACCCTGACTATTATAGGTTACCAGTGCTAAGAAGTGGGGGTACTGCTCTAACAAATACCTAAAGATATGGAAGTGGCTTTTGAACTGGGAAAAGGGTAGAGACTGGGGTATTTGGAGGCAATTGCTAGAAAAGCTTACACTGCCATGAACAGCCCTTAAAAAGTAACTTTTTTTTTCCTGCTATGCGACTTTTGGGATCTCAGTTCTCCGGCCAGAGATTGAACCTGAGCCCTTGACAATGAAAGCACAGGATCCTACTGGACCCCCGGGGAATATCCCCTCCCTTAAAAAAATTATTTTTCAATTGTTTAATTATTCAGTTCAGTCGCTCAGTCGTGTCTGACTCTTTGCGACCCCACAGATTGCAGCATGCCAGGCTTCCCTGTCCATCACCAACTCCCAGAGCTTGCTCAAACTCATGTCCATCGAGTCGGTGATGCCATCCAACCATTTCATCCTCTGTCATCCCCTTCTCCATCTGCTTTCAACATTTCCCATCATCAGGGTCTTTTCCAATGAGTCAGTTCTTGGCATCAGGTGGCAAAAGTTTTGGAGTTTCAGCTTCAGTATCAGTCCTTCCAATGAATATTCAGGACGGATTTCCTTTAGGACTGACTGGTTTGATACCCTTGCTGTCCAAGGGAGGGACTCTCAAGAGTCTTCTTCAACATCACAGTTCAAAAGCATCAATTCTTCAGTGCTCAGCTTTCTTTATGGTCTAACTCTCAGATCCATACATGACTAGTGAAAAAAACCATAGCTTTTTTTCTGTCTGTCTGACTAGACAGACATTTGTCAGCAAAGTAATGTGTCTGCTTTTTAATATGCTGTCTAGTTTGGTCATAGCTTTTCTTCCAAGGAGCAAGCGTCTTTAGTTTCACGGCTGTAGTCACCATCTGCAGTGATTTTGGAGCCCAAGAAGTCTGCCATTGTTTCCATTGTTTCCTCATCTATTTGCCATGAAGTGATGGGACTGGATGCCATGATCTTAGTTTTTTGAATGCTGAGTTTTAAGCCAGCTTTTTTACTTTCCTCTTTCACTTCCATCAAGAGGCTCTTTAGTTCCTCTTCGCTTTCTGCCATAAAGGTGGTGTCATCTGCATATCTGAGGTCATTAATATTTCTCCCTGCAATCTGGATTCCAGCTTGTGCTTCATCCAGTCTGGCATATTGCATGATGTACTCTGCATGGAAGTTAAATAAGCAGGGCGACAATATACAGCCTTGATGTACTCCTTTCCCAATTTGGAACCAGTCTGTTGTTCCATGTCCGGTTCTAACTGTTGCTTCTTGACCTGCATACAGATTTCTCAGGAGGCAGGTAAGGTGGTCTGATATTCCCATCTTTTTAAGAGTTTTCTACAGTTTGTTGTGATCCACACAGTCAAAGGCTTTGACATAATCAATAAAGCAGAAGTAGATGTTTTTCTGAAATTCTCTTGCTTTTTCTATGATCCAGTGGATGTTGGAAATTTGATCTCTTTAAATTATTAGTTTATGTATTTATGCTTGGCTGCACTGGGTCTTCGAAACAGGCTTTCTCTAGTTGCAGCCAGTTGGGCTGTGGTACATGGGCTTCTCATTGCTGTGGCTTCTCTTGTTGCAGAGCACAGGCTCTGGAATCTTCCCAGACCAGGGATGGAACCTATGTACCCTGCACTGGCAGGTGGATTCTTAACCATTGGACCTCCAGGGAGGTCTGGGAATTCCCCTTTTGAAAGGTAATTCTGAAGACAGGTCAAAGAAAAGAAATCTGCAGAGAAAGTCTCAGTCTTCTTTGGGGATTCCTAAGCAGAATGTTGGTAGAAATATGGGTGGCAATGACCATTCTGGTGACATTTCAGATAGAAATGAAGAGTATATTACTGGAAACCTGAGGAAAGGCAATCCTTGTAAGAAGTGACAAAGAACTTGGCTGAGCTGTGATTTGTGTTCCAGTGTTTTGTGGAAGATGGAACTTGCAACCAATGAAATTTGATATTTAACTGAAGTGATTTCTAAAAAAAAGTGTCGAAGGTATGGCTTGGCTCCTCCTGGCATCTTATAGTAAAATTTAAGCAGAGAGAAATGACTTAAAGACAGATTGTTAAGCAAAAAGGAAGTCGAACTTAATGATGTGGAAAATTCTCAGCCTATCCATATTGCAAAAAAAAAAAAAGAAAATGAGAACACTAAGGATATGGCCAAGTGACCATATGGGGCACTGGGAAATGAGTAGGGGTGTGAACCGCAGGAGGAATCAGCCATCCCAGGAGGAAAACTACCAGTTTGAACTGAAGAAGAAGGAAATAGGAAGGAATGAAGGAAGGCTGACGGACTTCATGAATTTTACAGGACAAGACCATAGGCCTAGTTGGTGAGATCGTGTGCTATTCTTTAAGGCAAGGGAAGAGTGGGACTTCCCTGGTGGTCCAGGGGTTAGGACTCCGTGCTCCCAATGCAGGGGTCCCAGCTAACCGCTGATTAGGGAACGAGATCCCACGTCACAACTAAGAGTTCACACGCTGCAACTCAAGATCCTCCACCCTGCAATGAAGGTGGAAGATCCTGTGTGCTGCAACTAAGACCCGGAACAGCCAAATATATAAATAAATTAATTAATATATTTTTTTAAAAAAGACAAGTGAAGAGTGATCCCAAAGGCGATTCAGAGATCATCAGAGCTGCCTTCTTGGTTTCAGGAAAGATAATCATTGCCTTGCTTCCAACAAGTCAGACAGCCTCTACCCCCCAGAGGGGAAGAGCCCCCCCAAAACTGTAGGGATGGGGCTTCCTAGGGCTCTGGAGGCAGTGGAGATGGAACCACTGCCCCAGTGGGTCAGAAACGTGGGATTTCTGCCCCGGTGGGCCTGAAGGGGAGAGCGTGGAACTTAAGAGGGTTATTCCGGAGTCTTGAGATCTCATGAAGTTTTCCCTGCTGGATTCTGGACTTGCTTGGAACCTTTCATCCTGCCTTCTTCCTGATTTCTCCCTTTTAGAATGGGAATGTCTGTTCCTATGCTTGTCACATATTTATGTGTTCAGTTCAGTTCAGTTCAGTCACTCAGTCATGTCTGACTCTTTGCAACCCCATGAATCGCAGCACGCCAGGCCTCCCTGTCCATCACCAACTCTGGGAGTTTACCCAAACTCTTGTCCACCGAGACGGTGATACCATCCAATCATCTTATCCTCTGCCGTCCCCTTCTCCTCCTGCCCCCAATCTCTCCAAGCATCAGGGTCTTTTTCAATGAGTCAACTCTTCGCATGAGGTGGCCGAAGTATTGGAGTTTCAGCTTCAGCATCAGTCCTTCCAATGAACACCCAGGACTGATCTCCTTTAGGATGGACTGGTTGGATCTCCTTGCAGTCTAAGGGACTCTCAAGAGCCTTCTCCAACACCACAGTTCAAAAGCATCAATTCTTCGGTGCTCAGCTTTCTTCACAGTCCAACTCTCACATCCATACATGACCACTGGAAAAACCATAGCCTTAACTAGACAGACCTTTGTTGGCAAAGTAATGTCTTTGCTTTTTAATATTCTATCTAGGTTGGTCATAACTTTATGCATTAGAAACACATAACTTGTTTGGCTTTACAGATTTCACTGCTGGAAAGGAATTAACCTCAGGATGAATCATATCTCAAGTTCCACCCCTACCTGATTTGGATGCTATTCATAAGAGACTTTGGACTTCAGACTTCAGAGTTGATGTTGAATGAGTTTAATGCCTTTTGAGACTTGGGGGATGGAATGAATGTTTTTTATGTGAGAAGGACATGAATGTGGGGGACCCAGGAGAATATTATGGGGTGAAAGTTTATGTCCTCCCCAAATGTACATGTTGAAACCCAACTACTTGATGTAATGGTATGGGAGTCGGGGGGGTGGGGTGGGTATAAGATTGTTGTTGTTAAGTTGCTCAGTCATGTCCAGTTCTTTGTGACCCCATGGACTGCAGCATGCCAGGCTTCCCGGTCCTTCAGCATCTCCCAGAGCTTGCTCAAACCCATGTCCATTGAGTCAGTGATGTCATCCAACCATCTAGTCCTCTGTCGTCCCCTTTTCCTCCTGCCTTCAATCTTTCCCAGCATCAGGGTCTTTTCTAATGAGTCAGCTCTTCACATCAGATGGCCAAGGTGTTGGATATAAGATTAGATGACATCATAAAGATGGAGTCCTCACCAATGGAATTGGTGCCCTTATAAGCATCATGAGAGAACTAGCTTCCTCTCTGCTCTCCAGCAGACGAGAATACATCAAGAAACTGGCAGTCTGCAACCTAGAACCTCTTCTCACCAGAATCCTCACCAGAACCTGACAATGCTGGGACCCCGACCCCAGGCTCCCAGGCTCCAGAACTGCAGGAGACACATTCCTATTGTTTATAACCCACCTTAAGATTTTCTGTGGTCTTCTGCTATAGCAGCCTGGACTGACTAAGACATTTCTTCATGAAAAAAGTTTCCAAAGCCCCTGCGGAGAAACCAATTTTACTATTGCTCTCGTTCTGACTTTGAGACTCACCTGCTTTATGCCTGTTAGACAAGTATGGTCTTACCTGCAACAAAAATGTTCCTACTACCTTCAGATAACCTCCTGATCTGCCCTATTTTACTTGCACACATTGGAGGTCACATTGCAAGCACAATGAACACATTGCAAGACCATTCACTTCCCTCTCCTTCCACTCTATTCTTTATTTTTTTCATTCATTTATTTGTATATTCATTCATTCATTTGGCTGCACCAGGTCTTAGTTGAGGCATGTGGGATCTTCAGTTGTGGCATGTGGGATCTAGTTCCCTGACCAGGGATCGAACCTGGGACCCCTGTGTCGGAAGCACAGATTCTTAGCCACTAGACCACCAGGGAAGTCCCTCCTCCCATCCTATTCTGCTGACCCTGGGCCACCAACACTCCTTGCCTAGGCCACCACAATACCTTTCCAATTGTCATCTCAAAGCATCCACACTTTAACTTCACAATCGAACATGTCACAGCAACCAGAGCAAACTTTAAAAGTGTGAAGTTGACTATACTCTCCTTCAAGTGTATAATAAAATCAGTTCTAGATTTTTTTTCTTCCAAAACCCCTTCCTCCCACTGTCTTCTGCATGTCAGTAAATGGTGATGCCATTCTTCAAGTGGCTCAGGCCCAAATCCTTGCCATCACCCGTAACCTCTCTCTTTTCTTCCTACTGCAAGCACATCCATTCCACACTTAGGGTGGCAGGCTCCACCTCAAACTAGAGCCACCTACTTTGCAGGAAACACACCAGCGCTACTTCGATCCAAACCACCATTGTTTCCTGCCAAGATGACTAAAACAGCCTGCAAACTGGTCTCCCTGCTTCCACAGATGCCTCCCTTCAGGCTGTTCTCACACCAGGAACCATGTGAGCTTTTGCAAAGGTAAGCCAAACAGTGCTTCTCCTCTGCCCCCAGTTTTCTAACAGCTTTGCATTTTGCTCAGAGATCCTTCCACCCACAAGGCCCTACCTCGTCTCTCCCCATCTCTCTGGCCTTGTGTCCTACCAGCTGAGTCCTGGCTGCAGGAACCTTCAGCAAGCCCACAACATAGGGCCCATGCACTTGACGTCTTAGGCTGGAGCCCACTTCTCTCAGCTGTCTATGCGGCTCTCTCACTTCCTTCAGGGCTCTGCTCCCACATTGCTGCCCCTCGAGAGGCCTGCACTGACTGCGCCCTGCACGTCTGCGCCATTTAGCCAGCTTTATTGTTCCAGATGGCCCTAGTGGAAAAGAACCCACCTGCCAATGCAGGAGATGTAAGAGATGCAGGGTCAAGAAGATCCTTGGAGGAGGGCATGGCAACCCACTCCATGGAGAATTCCTATGGACAGAGGAGCCTGGCAGCCTACAGACCATGGGGTTGCAAAGAGTCAGACATGACTGAGCGACTTAGCATGCACACATGCATTTAGCACTTATTTGTAGTACCCAACATTTATCTGTCTACTATTTTGTTGTCCGTCTTCCCCTCCTAAGGTGTCAGCTTCATGACCGCAAGGGCTTGCTTTTGTGTGTGTGTGTGTTTTTAATTAGAATGTCTGCTAGTTTTATTTCTTTTCTTAGATTAATTTTTATTGGAGTATAGTTGCTTTGCAAAGTTGTACTAGTTTCTACTGTACAACAAAGTGAATTGGCTATATGTACACACGTGTCCCGTTTTTTTGGATTTCCTTCCTATCTAGGTCGCCACAGAGCAATGAGTTCCTGTGAGGGCTTGGTTTGTGAGGCAGTGGACTCTAAGATGCAACCCCCAACCCATGATCCCCACTTTCTCCTGGTGTTCACATCTTTGTTTCATTCCTTCCTCTTCCATGTGGGTGGGACCTGTGACTTGTTTCCAACCAGCAGAATGTGGCAAAGTAATGGGCTGTCATTCCCATGATTATGTTACATAATATAAGACTTTGTCCTTCTAGCTCAGTGGTTCCCCAACCTTTTTAGCACCAGGGACTGGTTTCACGGAAGACAATTTTTCCAAGGATCAGGGGTGGGAGGGCAGGGATGTTAGGGGGATGATTCAAGGGCAGTAGGGTTCGTGCTCCTATGAGAATCTAATGCTGCCACTGATCTGACAGGAGGCAGAGCTCAGGCGGGAATGTGAATGAACTGTAAATACAGAGGAAGCGTCACTTGCTCCCTCACTCTCTGCTCACCTCCCTGCTGTACGGCCCAGTTCCTAACAGGCTATAGACTGGTAGCTGTCTGTGTCCCGGGGTTGGGGACCCCTGTGCTCACAGATTGGCTCTCACTCTCCTGCTGGCCTTGGAGAAGCAAGCTGATGTCTATGAATTGTCTAAGGGTGGCATCTGGGAACTGAGGACCTCCGGCCAGCAGCCAATTGAAAACCTGAAGAACTCAGCCCAGTCACCACAAGGAAATGTATTCTACCAACAACTGGAGTTGCTTGGGAGCAGATGAAGAATCCACCTGAGCCTTCGGATGAGAATGCGGCCCTCCCAACATGTTGACTGCAGCCTAGCCAGATCCGGAAGCAGAACACTCAATTAAGTAGTGCCCAGACTCTTGGTCCACTGAAACTGAGAGATAATAAATGTCTGTTGTTCTTGGCTACTAAATTTGTAGTAATTTGTTACGCAGCAATAGAAAACCAATATAGTTTGTTTTGTTCATTGTTCTCTCCTGAGTCCTTAGAACAGGATACAACATATATTAGGTAGGTGCTCAATAAATATCTGTTGAATGAGAATATTGGTATGATAAAGCAAAACAGAGAAAGAAAACAAAGTGGACAATATGGCTATAATATGCTACCGCTCATGTGTGAATGTGTGTGTAGCTAACTGCATAAATGTCGAATTTCTCTAGAAAGGTCTACGAGAAACTGACAAAGGTCTGGGGAGGAAAATGAAAGTACTAGAAATTCATGAAGGGAGGAGGCTTTTATTTTAAACCCTTTTGAACTATTTGAAAAATATTTTTATGCTATAAATGTATTACTTAAACACATACACAACTGAACAAAGTCGCTCCCGTGACTTCAAATTTTAATGATTTCTAAAGTAAAAGCATTTCTTCAGCATTTACTCCTTTAGGCAGTGCTCTGCCTGACCCATCCAAGCAACACCCTGGTCTATTATTCATTTCCACCCAATCTCCCTCTAAGATGTCTCGTGGCAACCGTCTTCAACAAAAGAATTGCTACAGACAGAACTAAATATATTTTGCACTTGCACATCATGCTTTGACTGCCTCACAAAAGAGCAGAAAGGCAAATTCTGTTTCCAGACATGCATAAGCCAAGCCACAAGGGCCTTTTCTACAGTACAATTCAAGACAAGAGGTGCCAAGTTTTTCCTTTATTGTTATCACGTATCCAGTCTAAAAAGCATCTCATTCAAGAAAAATGTGAATAATTTAACTTATGAAGTTACTCTGGAGTTTTTGTTGTTGTAGTTTAGTTGCTAAGTTGTGTCAAACTCTTTGTGACCCCACAGACTGTAGCCCACCAGTCTCTTCTATCCATGAAATTTCCCAGGCAAGAATACTGAGTGGGTTGCCATTTCCTTCCCAGGGGATCTTCATGATGCAGGGATTGAACCCACGTCTCCTGCTTGGCAGGTGGATGGCCTGATAAGCTTTAAAAAGTGTGACTGAAATAATGGGGTAGTAGGTCAATTTCCTGGAGAAGGCAATGGGAACCCACTCCAGTACTCTTGCCTGGGAAATCCCATGGACAGAGGAGCCTGGTAGGCTGCAGTCCATGGGGTCGCAAAGAGTTGCACACGACTGAGCGACTTCACTTTCACTTTTCACTTTCATGCATTGGAGAAGGAAATGGCCAGCCACTCCAGTGTTCTTGCCTGGAGAATCGCAGGGACGGCGGAGCCTGGTGGGCAGATGTCAATGGGGTCGCACAGAATCAGACACAACTGACACGACTTAGCAGCAGCAGCAGCAGGTCAATTTCCATACTGGTTTGGCAGAGGTGAAGAAAAGCCAGCTAAAATTTGCAGGCTGAGGACAAATGGACCCATTATACAACTGGGAAAACTGAGTCGGAGAGTACAGCATAGAGCTTTAGGAGGCCATACCCTGTGTGCCGCAAATGGAGACTGCCAAGTTTACCATTTACAAAAAGAAAAAAGAAAATAAAAAAACACTCTAGGGCTTGCCTGGTGGCTCAGTGGTAAAGAATCTGCCTGCCAGTGCAGGAGACATTCCCTGGTCTGAAGGTCCCACTTGCTGCAGGGCAACAAAGCCTATGTGCCACAACTACCGAGCCTGCGCTCTAGAGCCCTGGAGCTACGACTATTGAGCCCATATGCAGCAAATACTGAAGCCCTTGCACCCGAGAGCCCATGCTCCACAACAACAGAGGCCACTGCAATGAGAAGCCCACACAGCACAACAAAGACTAGACTGTTCACCCCAATTAGAGAAAAGCCCATGCAGCAACAAAGACCCAGCATGGTCAAAAACAAATAAATGAATAAATTTAAAAAAACAAACTACAGACAACAGGTTAGTGAAACAGTTTCAAATGTGTAGCCCCATCTGTTTTAAAACTAGCTTATGTAACAAATTTAAGAGTTGCTGAAAGCCTTTCTCCTAGTGCTCTAGAAAATATTTTGACATAACTACTCTCAGCAATTAGTGAGGGACTATGATCCCAACAACATAAGATTATTGACCTTGTTCAAAGTTCTAAATCTGAAACACACAATCATAATGAGTGTTCAATGATTAATCAACATCTGTGAATTAATGGCTAATCATCGCTGTCCAGCTTCTCAAATCATAGTTCACTTCATGTGAGTGAGTATATGTGTATGCAAATACTTTAGTTTTTCACAGGTCAGTTTGATTGTGCAATCAGTTCAAGCCAAAAAATTCACCAATATGGCTACAAGTTCATGACTAAATCCTATGAAGGTCAAAAGCTGTATGCAGCCTCTTGGCTAAAGTAACATCCTTCCCAAGAAACATTTAACTTACCTAATTGGTATCTTTGCCATTCATTCATACATACATATATTTACTCCTTCTGCCAATATTTAACACTCATGTACAAAGAGACATAAGTCAGGGGCATTGCTTATAGCCCAGTGGTCCATGGATGTGTTGCCATGTTTTCTCACCAACATATGTCATTGTGTGTGTCTGTGTGTGTTAGTTGCTCAGTCATGTCCAACTGTTTGTGATCCAAAGGACTGTAGCCTGCCAGGCTCCTCTGTCCGTGGAATTCTCTAGGCAAGAATAATTGAGTGGATTGCCACTCCCTTCTCTAAGGGATCTTCCCAACCCAGGGGTTGAACCCAGGTCTCCTGCACTGCAGGTAGATTCTTTATTCTTTACTGTCTGAGCCATGAGGGAAACCCACA